CTGCTGCCTGAGATGCACGTGCCAGGCAGTTACTTGTGGCTCCTGTCTATGTGGCGTTTCCACATTACTGCTGGTAAAACCGCTGGGAGCAGGATTGGGAGTGTTAGGGTTTCAGGATCTTCCTAAATTCTCGACTTGATGTGGCTGGAGATTGAGCTGCAGGGAGAGAGCTAGGCGGCTGGCTTCATCTGCTGTCTTGGGCAGAATGGAATTTGTATGCCCCTAATTCTGTCTTGCTTTTTTCGGTGTGTGAAGTTTCAGAATGAAGAGATTGAGGGAAGAGTGCCTTAATGAACAAGAATGTGTGTACGTAGAGGAATCACACACTCTGACGGTGGACGGGCTGGGAAGGTAATAGTGTCTTCAGAGAGATGTCCAAGTCAGAACACCAGGGACTGCAGCCGTCCGGCCACCCTCCCCTAAGGGCTGTGCTCAGCGTTTTGATGGACTGCTTTCATTAACAGTGACTCCGTGAAAGAGAGGCAGTCTGGGGGTTATTTTTCACGTTAGATTCTGAAGCTCGCAGGGCTTCAGACTCAGGTTGGTGTGGCTCCCAGCTGGCGTTCCCGTGCAGTGCACACCCTCGCCGCGTTACTGTTACCGTGTCTAGAACTGACCCGAGGGCCACGGGCCTCAGCACAGGGACCTGGCGGGGACGGAGGAGCCCAGACCCCCGCTCTGCCAGCTCAGCGGCAAGTTCTGGAAAGTGTGCCAAGTCCCTGGAACGTTGGGCCCTTCACTTCTTTTCCTGTTGAGGAGTTATATTTGTTACATCCATCTCTTACGGTTTTTATGAGAATAAAGTGAGATAATAGCTAGGAAGGTGCCTCACACACTTGAGTGATGTACAAATAAAGGGCTTGTGTTATTAGATTTTTGATAATATTGAGGTATTTTTTTCATGATGCTCACACTGTCTTTTGATTAAATTAAAAAACATTTGGCTGATTCTTTCTGTCCCTTCCTAGTTTGGGCCCTGGCTCAGCAGGGATACTTTCCTGACTGAGAGGAAGTTGTCCCCAGACTGTGGACTTGGGACGAGGTTGAGATGCCCTGTGACTCGTCCCTTTCTTCCTGTTGGAAACGTGGGACGTAGAACCTGACTTGTTTTTGAAATACTTCTTTTCCTATTATTAAATGACTGATCCGTGTGTATTTCTTTATTAAGTGTCAACTACGTTGCAGCTCTGTCCGAGATCTCATGGGACCTAAGACTTAAAAGGCCAGCTCAGACCTCAGGGCGTATGCTGTAAGGTGGGGGAGGGGAAACGCAGCCAGGAAGCCGTGTGGGTGACTCGTGCACGTGGTGCTCACGCTGTAACTGCGAGCCGGGCGGGGGACGGCCTCCCTGCTGGAACGGCCCCGTGGAGGAGCTGCTGAGACTTGAACTGGGCCTGGAACATTAGAGTTTGAGCTGGGGTTTGGGTTCTGATAGGGGTGCGGGAGGTAGTCACAGGCAGGGGGACTAGAACAGTACAGAGAGGTAGAAAGAGACAGGTGTCGCCCCTGCATATTTAGGGAGGTCTGGAACATCGCCCTGAGCAGCGGGGGGCGGGGGGATAGGGCATGCGTACACGCTGCTCTGTGTGTGTGTGTGTGTGTGTCTGTGTGTCTGTGTGTCTGTGTGTCTGTGTGTGTAGGGTTGAATCATGGGATAACGGGCCTAGACGGCCAGGCTTGAGAGTTGTGGGGCAAAGTCATCAAGAATGATGGAAAGTTCTAGAGCCAGGAAGTGGCAGTGAGACGAGGGGCAGAGGCTGAGCAAGACCAGAGCAGAGGGCTAGACTCTGAGGTCCTGCACAGAGTGACAGAGGGGCCAGGTGAACGGAGAGGGTGTTTACTGCACCGATATCTTCAGGACAAAACCTGCAGAGCTCAGTGACTACTGAGTAAAGGAACTCAGGGAGGAGGAAGAGGAGTTTCAGAGTCCTCTGTTCAGACTTAGAAGTTACAGGATGTTCTTCGCCCAGTTCTAGGGTTCTTCGCTCTGCAGCACCGCGTGGGTAGTTGACAGCAGCAGCTCATTTTCAGTGTGTAAATTATTCCAAATTCATTTATGAATATTTCATTTTTTGCTAACTAATTGGTCTTGAGGATCTGCATTATGGATGCAGCAAGATGTAACATTAGTTTTGTCATGGTCGTGTCAGAGGTTTTCCAAAGCTTTCAGGGCTGATTTTAAGTTTCTTCCTTGACAGCAGGTGAATTGGGTTAATTCACCAAGATTCATGGGGTGTCTGCTGGGTGGGGGCGCAGTCTCAAGTGCTGGGGGACAAAAATAACCAGGGCAGGACCCTGCCTTCACAGAGTCCTGTCTGCGGGGAGAGACGCACAGACAGTGCTGGTGTTTGGCTGACCTGCTGTGTGCCTGCTGTGTGGCGAGTGGAGTCACACCTGTCACCTGCCCTGGATGTCTCTGGGGAGAGACCGCTGGGCACCCTGTCACACTGCTTGTGAACCTGAGGTGAACCGCACACCTTCTGCATAAATGACACACCTGCCCAAGACTGCTGACCCCAGCTGGACACGGGGGGCCCCAGGGACCGCTCACACTTCTACAGCCAGGTGCAAACTTGGGGGGCCCAAGGACTACCTCACGTTCGAGAATTTGCTAAAACAACTCCCAGAACTCAGGAAGCACTGTACTCATGATGACAGTTTTTTACAGAAAGGGTCCAGGTCAGAACCAGCCAAAGGGGGAGGTGAATGGGTGAGGTTGGGGACCAGGGGTCCCAGACACGGGGGTGTCGGCCCCCCGCTGTCCCCCGTGGAGTCCTGGACGTCGTTGCCTTCTAGGCGACGTTACACGACAGGGCTCGAGTATTTCCATCCAGGGCCGCCCACCCGACCCATTATGTCCAGATTTTTGGGGGTCCTGGTGACGTACTGCCCGCATGGCTGGCCCTCAGTCTCCAGCTCCTCCTGGAGGTCAGACTAAGACCTCCACTCTCCAGTTCATGCAGAGCTCGGAAATGATCTGACCTGCTGCCGAGCAGCTGGAATACATCATAGGCCCTCCTGTCAGGCAGGACGTTCCCGGGGCCTGGAGAGGTCACCTCCAGGAGCTGAGGGCGCAGGCCAGGCCTCTCTTTGGGTAAAGTCACTTCACCTTCACACGGCATTTCAGTGGAGGGCCTCTGTCTGCACGGGCAGGGTGTGGGCTCTGTCGCTGGGGGTGGGCCCAGGCCACCGCCTTCCGCAAACCGTTATGCAACACGTGTCTGCAGCTCAGTGGGTGTGACATGCGGTGGGTGTTAGTCAGCCCCTCCACTGATTCTGCTTCTCTGACTAGCAATTGCTGCTTCAGTGAGCTGCACAAGTGCCTACTGCTGTAAAGGATAACAAAGAGAAAAGTTTTCATGGCTTTGAGGTGAACGATTTGTCCTCACTCTGCACGTTCCTTCCTCACCTCCCTTGCCAGCCCCCCATACACGTCGGCCGGGCCTCCTGTCTACACAGCTTTCTTTCCCCTTGGAGCCGCCTCAGTGCCGACAAGGGGAGCCGAGGGTCTTGTGCCCTTGTTTGTTCTGTCTGTCTCCTGGTTGGCTTTCCTGTTGTTCAGTCTTCTTTTCTCCCCGTCCCTGATCCCCACCTCCATCTCCGACATGCCCAGTGACACAGAGGGAAGGCACTGATTATGCCAGCATCGTGCTGGCCGCCCTGGCCCAGGGCGACCCTGGTCTGCATCTCTCAGTCAAGGTGACCCACCCTTGGCACCGCAGCTCTGCAGAAACTGCTCCTGCAGGATCTCCCCACCTCTCAGCGACTTCTGGTTCTGGCACACGATCCCTTGAGTTCCTGGGGCCCCGTGTCAGAGCCGGCTCCTGCATCCAGAGCCCACGTTGTCCTGCTGCTCTTTTCCCGAAGGCTTTGCTCCAGAACCTCCCTGGCCTCCTCCACTGCCCCTGTGGCTCTCCTTGCTGTCTGATTTGGGGGCACAAGTGACCCACTGAAAGGGTCCTCACAGCGGTAGCAGTGGCCAGTGTGGCTGCTGCTTTCCTGTGGAGAGCCAGAGCCTTGGAGAGGGCAGCAGGGACCTTGAACACGCCCTGATTCCGCAGGTGCCCAGGCCCCCATCGTGGTGCTGGAACCTAGGAGCCTGCCCTCCTCCGCCCTGGCGTTCAGGTTCAGAGGGCTGCTGACACGCCGCGCCGTGGCCCGACAGATGGCGCTCCACAGGTGGCCCCCTGCTTGCCTCCTCCCGGTACCTCTCAAGTCACGTCACCTAGGCCACCCTGCCCCACACTCACGCAACAGCACGATGCTCCCTGACCCCGCTCACCCACCTCAACTCCCACCTTCATGCTGGCGATGAATGCCTTAACGATGAATGCTAATGAAGAAATACAAGTTGAAAAGTGGCTTGGAACTGGCTCTGAAGCAGCTCTGATCGTGACATTTAAATCAGCAGGTCTCTAGGAAACTTGAAAAATATTGTTGCTGTTTTTAGTCCTATAATTTGTGGCTTTAGGTTGAAATGATTTTTTCTCTTTTTCATCAGAGCATTTTGGCTCTAATAATTATGATGCCTTGAGATGGTCTGGATAGTTGTGTAGCTCATTAAGAGCGTGAAAAGCTAAGTGTCCTTGGAGAACCCTTTGCAGAGAAGTAGTCCTTAACCAGTTTCTGAGAACTGGACTTAAATGGAAATGAGGGCTCGTAAGGAGCCTGATTTGTGAACTGGGGCCTGAGGGTCACAACTTAAAATCCTGCTCTACAGGAGAAGCCTGTGCAAAGGTTCTGATAAAATGATGTTCTTAAATCGCGCTGTTACGGAGCTGATCATATAATAGGGTGGAGATGCAAAGATATGAGCACTAAAGATTGTGTGCAGCTATTAATTCTAGAACGCTGGTCCCAGACTTTTCTTTTTTAAAAAACAAAAACAAACAAACCCCCCACCCCGTGAAACCAAAGATATTTCCACACTTGGGAACTGAGGGCCTGCCCTGCGCTGTCTCCTCGTGTGACTCCCTGGTGCCCTCTTGTTTCCTTTACAGAGTTTTCGGTCATGAAGAGGAAGAGAGGCAGGCCCAAGGGGTCCACCAAGAAGCCCAGCCCCGAAGAGGAACTGGCGGAGAACATCGTCATGCCGAGCGAGGGCAGTCCGCGGGCCCCGGAGGAAGGCAGGAGCCTGACGCCGAGCAGCCTGGAGTGTGGCAAGTGCGGCCGCAAGTTCTCCAACACGCGCCAGCTGAGGAAGCACGTCTGCATCGTGGTGCTGAGCTTGGGCGAGGAGGAAGGGGAGGCAGGTGAGTGCTGCCCGAGGGCCGGCCGCGTGGTTTCTTAGGAAGAGATGGAACCACTCACGGCCACTTTTACCGCGTCATTTGTTACTTGGAAACAGCACACGTGTACTCGAGTCTCACCCATCCGGAAAGTGCTCGTTTTTGTAACGATCACTGAACCTTTTTTTTGAAGTACAGTCAGTTTACTATGTCGTGTCAATTTCCGGTGTACCGGGTAATGTTTCAGTCACACATACACACACAAATGTTCCTTTTCGTGTTCTTTTCCTTATAGGTTACTATAACATGTTGAGTGTAGTGCCCTGTGCTCTGCAGTAGAAGCTTGTTTATCTGTTTCGTATGTAGTCGTCTTTGAACTGAGTGTGTCATCTGGTAGCTGACACCCCGAGTGCAGGTCACAGGGCTGCTTGAGCAGATGTTTTGGGGGCGGCAGAGACGGAAAAACAGCCCCTATGCTCTTGAGCTTACATTCTGGGTCAGATGATGGGGTTTTAAAATGCAAAATGTTGAAGGGTGGCAAATCATCAGTTAAGAAAGCGTTCTGATGGGAGGTCAGGGGTGAGCTTGGTGTCAGCATTCGGGCGGCATTTGGATTAAAGGAGGGAGGATGCCTTAGTGGGTGATGGGCTCGTGTGAGCAGAAGAGGGGGCATGAGGATGCTGAGGCCCTGTGGTGGCCTTGATGGCCGGGCCCAGACTGTGGCAGGCTTTCTGGCAGGAAATGAAGGGTGTCAGTGCTTCCTGCAGGTGAGTTCCTGACTCGGCTTCTGCTCTGAGAGGCTGAAGGCAGTGCGAGCGTGAGCAGGGAGTGTCTCCTAGACGAATGAACCAGCAGGACTGTGCCGGGCAGCGAGGGCTGCTGCCGTGGGTGCTGCTGCTGTTGTTTGGTCTTGCGTCGTGTTTTCGGTTTTCAAACTATGTCTGCGACCTTAGGCAGTTCTTGCCGTGTTTTGTGCCGTGCTAAGCACGTTACATGGGCGGCGGTTCTGGTTAAGGCTGTGGGCTTTGGACTGTGGCTGCCTGGGTTTGGATCCCAGCTCCAGTCCCTGCTGACTTCCCTCTGTTTTGCTTTCCTCAGCTGTGAAATGGGAATAAGAATATGGTTGCTCTGAGGATTAGATGAGGCAGGCCTTTGCGCAGTGCCTGCCCTGTCAGCGCACTCAGTGCCTGTTGACTGTTACCGTTGCTCATGGCCCTGTGGACACAGTGCTACCGCCAGCCTTCCTGTTTCGTAGATGGGGCACTTAGGCACTGAGAAATAAGCATTTGCCCAAGGTCCTTTAGTTAACAAGGGAATCTGGCCTTTAAACGCAGGCTGTCTGATTCTGACTCCCAGTTCTTAAGTCCTAGAAACGTCTCCCAGCAGTGAAGCAAGACCCTTGGTGTCTAAAACCCTAGCGCGGACGGGGAGAGCTGTTGAGTCGTGCATCGCCTAATGTTCATCGGACATCTAGGTTGGTGGCCAAGGCCCATTGCCAACCTCTGTGCCGGTTATAGAAAGTGTAGAATGTTGTTGCTGGTTTTTAAAAACTGCTCTCAAGGTGACCACGTGCACTCTCACTAGGCCACGGTGGGGGCCGATGCGAATAATAGACGAGGCTTCAGACAAGACAAGGCAGCTGGTGGCAGCTGCCCAGGACAGAGCATGAGTAATCGCCGTGTGAGAAGCGTCGGCAGGGCGTTCTGTGATTCAGAGGAACCAGCATCTCGTTTCAGAGCCTCAAGTCCTTTTGCCAAATGAACATAATTTAGCAATGAGATGGTCAAGGGAGGAGGGGTTACAATGCCACGGCCTGCACCGGGGAGCTGGTTCCCGGTGGACTTGCAGACCCCTGGGCCTGGGCTGTGGACTTGCTCTCCCTGGCTCTCCCCTCCACCCGCCCTTCTTTGTCTCACGTGCACACACGTGCACTCCCCACCCCCCCGACTCTCTTCTTCCTGCACAGATGGTTCATGGTTGTCACGTTTTAATCAGAGGGACCAGCCCTGCTCGTCCTGGCTCCAGTCCTTCTGAGAATCCAAGTGTCTCTGATCCTTCAGGGCCATAGTTTTTGAGAATCTGTTTCGTTTTTGTGCCTTTACACAGTTGGTTTGTTCCATCAGGCTCTTTCTGCACAATTAGGGCTAGGAGTCAGGGATTTCACTCTTTTACCTTGCCCAACGTTCCGGCTTCCTCTCCCTCCAGACCTCAGGCCTCTGTCTAACTTGGAGGCAGCCTGAGGTCAGTCAGGTCCATGGATGTACCCCAGTCTGTGCTGCCCTCAGGGTTTTCTTCCTGAAACACAGTCCTTCCGTGTCTCCCCTTCACCGTAGGGTGCAGACTCCTCACCAGGGTATTCAGGGCCCTCACCAAGAGGATCTTTCTGTGTAGCATCTTTTTCCTTGCTGTGTAGTATTCCATTATTCATGTCAGCCACAGTACAACTGATGACATTTAGGTTTTTTCCAATTTTTTTTCTTTTATAAATAATACTTTAATAAATATGCCTGTATGTATATGTATATATATGTGTATATATGTGTATGTGGATTATTATTTGTAATTTTTATAGGATAAATTCCTAGAAGTGGAATTCCTAGGCCAGAAAGTGTATTACGTATTGCCCAATTTCCCCCTAGAAAACTGACACCAATTTAGATTCCAAAAGTGTCCAAGGGTACCAGCTGGATATTATCATTTTTGTTTGTTTATTTTATTTTGTAATACCTCTAATGATACAAAAAATACCAAGAAGAAAGTAAAAATAATCCAAAAATTTACTGCCTACATATAATGTATTATATTGTATATATTAGTATTATATTAGTGTAATAGTATACCTCTATTATACTGCATAAAAAAGTAAAGAAAAGATCTTTCTCACTTCTGTGTACACTCACATGTTTTCCAGAAATGAGGTCATGCATAATGTTCTGTGATCTTTTTTCACTCATGATGTAGCAGATATGAATTTTTCATGTCAATATTTTTTATTTAACAAGCAGTTTTGTAGCACTTTCTGTGTTGCAGATCCTGTTCTCAGTATTTTACAACTATTATAGCTCATTTCATTGCCATGGCAACACAATGTCCCTATTATCATTCCCAGTTTGTAGACGAGGAAACTGAGGCACAGAGAGATTCAGGAGTTTGCTTATATCACACAGCCCGGAAGTGTTGGAGCTGGATTCTGAAGGCATGCAGTCTGGCTGCAGGCTCTGTGCTTTTGTCTGCCAGGCTCTGCTTTCTGACCCAAAGTAGTCAGTGAACGTAGATTTTTGTCATTTTTAAAGGCCACACAGCATTTCATTGTATGCATGGACCATAAGTTTTCCTTCTTTGGTTTCCAGTTGACTGACATTGAATATTGTTTCTAGTTTTTCTCCCTGCTTAAGAAAAAAAAGCAACAAAACTATTCAGATGAACTCTATATCTTTGATCCATCTGGAAATTGCATTTTTGTGAAAGTTGTGAAGTTGAGCAGTTACATATATTCCATCAATAAATACGCGGACAGGAATGATCTCTGTAAGTGCAATTCGGTAGATGAACTATTTCCAATTGTAGGTTACACAGAGAAAATAAGGGTCTGGTTCCATGTCTAAGAAACTCTTTAAAAAGTAAAACTTTACATTTTGAAAGTCATTATGGAATAACAGGAAGCTGTAAGTAGCGCACAGAGTGGTGTCGTGCGCCCTTTACCCTGTTTCCCCCAGTGGTGACGTCTTACATAACTGTAGCACAATATCAAGTTCGGGGCCTTGGCAGTGAGACAGTGTGTGCACAGACCGGCATCCATCACATGTGCAGGTCTGTGTAGCCACCACCATGAATGTCTCCCTCATGTTCCCACTTCACAATCACCCCACCGCTACCCGCTACCACTGATCCCCAACTCTGTGATTTTATCGTTTCGAGAACATTACATCAGCTGAATCACACAATATATGATCTTTTAAGATTGGCTTAGAAGCCCCCCTTTTCAAACCCAACTTTATAATTTTATAATTGAGGAAGCTGAGGCTCAGAAGGGATGATTACCCAGAGTCCCACAGCTCATTTAAGGTAGAGCTGGGTACCATCCCATGTCTCCACACTCCTGCCCCGTGGCCGGCCCTGCTCTGCTGCATTTGTGGCTTAAAACCAATCTCTCTTCCACTCTGTGGATGTGGGTTTTGTTCATTTCACTGTACCTCTCTCAGTTCTTTCTCTAACCTTATGAGAAATGGAAGTCCCACCCCGTGTGGTCCCGATGTGTTATCTTCTGCTCTGTAATTAATTCGGCAGTCTCTTCAGCAGGGGCAGAAGCACATCCTGTCTAATAAGATTAGCAGCTTCTGCCAGTAATACACTGTACAGAGAATGGCCTCGTAGTCCATTGATTTGCATGACCTAAGTGGACTTTAATTTAACAAATACCAAACGGAGAGGTAGGAGCTCTGGGTACTTCCCCCTTTCTGGCTATGGCTGAGGCCTCTAAAATATGCAGAAATGACTTTATGCCCAGCTGCCTGGTGGCCGATGTCCCTGTGCATGCTCCGCGTTCCCGAGTTTGCCAAGCACAATATTACAATTTGGAAAATTCTCACATCATTGTTTTAATACATGCAGTTTAGTGACATTTCAAAGAATTGACCTTGACTCCTTAGCTTGCTAAAACAATTAGAAGAAAACAAAATAAGCTTTTTCCCTATGCTGAACCACAGCAAGTTAAAATAACATTTTTGATGTGTATTCAACATTTATTTATTTTATTCTGCATTTGAATAGTAAAAGAAACCAGGAAAAGAGAGTTGTGTTTTTTTCCCCTAATGCCATCATGTGGAACAGCTGGTGTTTTTGAAAAACATTTTGGAGCCTACAGAAATCAATATGTCAAGTTTATAAAAGTGACTTCTGAACCTTTCTAAGCTTGTTATTTCTGGGGTCATTTTATGCAAGGAGAGTTGCAAAATTTTCTCTTATTCTTGTTAAATCTCCCTGAAGAAGACAAGGCATTTATTTTAAGATCTTACCTAAGGTGC